CACACACACACACACACACACACACACACACACACACACACACACACACACACAGAAACGGAGCAGAAGCCTGACGCAGAGAAACTGGAAGGCAGCCTCTGCGACGGCACAGATACATGTAAGCAGTTTCGATTAATTACTGTAGGGAAATGTGGGAGGACCATGAAGGAGTGCAGTGGGGAGGGGGGGGGCACAATGTAAACTGGGGGGGAGCCCATCTCTGACTCATTCCCCCAGTGGCCCAAAGATCCTGCATGGAGGAGGACTGGACAGGCCCTTCATTCCCGATGACAGCCTATGTAACAGGATATCATGGTCGAGTTTTGTTTAGTCATTTCCTTGGTAGCGTTATGCTGGTCCACTCCCTGTCAGAAGACACGCTAAATGCCACGAGTCTCGGGAGATGCAAGGGATAGACTGCTGCAGGACACTGGGAGAGCAGTCACTGGGAGAGCAGTCACTGGGAGAGCAGTCACTGGGAGAGCAGTCACTGGGAGAGCAGTCACTGGGAGAGCAGTCACTGGGCAAACAACGCGCAGGCAGGGGATCTCAGACCATACCGCCACCACGGGACGTTTCAAGAACCATGCCCTCTTTCCCAAGAAACCATCAGCCTGATTTAAGAACCTGCAAGCAGGGTATGTAAGCAATGCAGCGTTTAAGGGGGGAGACTCCAGGTTCATTTCCCAGGGGGCACAGTCTCAGGAGAATGCTTGACCTGGTTCTCTGCAGTAAACCGCTTCTTAAGAACATAATGCTAATATTTAATCAAACATATGCTCATAAACACCCTGCCAGAACCTCCCATCCAGAGTCCCAGGGAAACACTTGTTTCTCTACCCCACCATGACAATCCGAATGGGTTCCAAGACCACACGCTCTGCCCAACTCATCAGTGCACCAACAACCCCCGATGCACATTTGCAACAGTGGCCTGACTACTGCCGTGGGGGATAGTAAGTTAGATTAAACATCTGCTGCTGTTCTCCCAGCAGACTTTTACAGGGACTGAACATCTCTTCATAGAGACCGCCTGGGAAAACGACCATAAGGGACGCTATTTATTTCCCCTAATCAATACTGTATGAGGATGCCAAATAAGCTTTCCAGCAGACGACGGGAACAAGGCGAGCGAAGCAAACAGCAGCCGCTGAGACATGGATACAATCAAAGACAAGGAAGCCCGAGACACGCCAATCAAACTGATGGAAGCCTAAGGTTCAACTTCCGCACCCCACATTACTCGTGAAGAGAATGTAAACAGACAAATCTGCTTCCTCTAAAAGCCTGTATCCTCAAGCAGAACCTCCATAAACAGCCAAGTGTGATACCAGCACACAATCAACAGCAGGAAGGTGAACCCTTAGAAACAGGCGGCTGAAGGAGACAAACGCTATGATGAAGGCAACAATTCCAATTAGTAAATTACCGGAGCGGCAAGATCACAAAACTCCCATGTATGGAGGAGGAGGGATGATTTACGGAATCGCTGCTCTGGAGGGATGCAATATTCATCACGCCAAGAGTGAGCCCAGTCTACCTTCCTGTAAATTCCGTGGCGATAAATCACATTGGCGTTACCAGCGATCGTGTGCAGATCAAGGGAGGTTCAGAGAGACAAGGCATCCTCGTCAGTCAAGTTTTAATTGGGTTATGAGGAGTTTAACGATGCACGTCCTGATGGCTATCGCAGAGTTGCAGAGGACCAGAGAGACTGGTGTTATATCCCTTTCAACGGTACCCCGAGCAAAATCCCTATGGCTATGGCTGACTGCACCATCCAACCCCCAATAACAGTAAAGCCACTGGTAACACAGGTCGGGATCCATTCAACCTTCAATTACGGTGAGAATCAGTCTGTTGGGTAGCAATTAATGATGTGCATCGGTAACCCAAAGGTCACTGGTTCCAATCACAAAACGGAACCTGCTCTAGAACCCATTGGCAAAATGCTTACCATGAGCTCTGCAGACTTGTTAGTAAACAAGTTGAAGACACAAAAAAATATTAAGGTAGTAAGGAGAGGAGAATCTTCTCCTCTTGGGGTGTTGGCCAACAAGCAAAGTGGACGTCAACAGATAAACCAACCCAAGGTCCAAAGAGAACAGGATCCAGTATGAATCCATAACAAACATCAGACAGAAGACCGCCTGGCACATCTAGTAGCCTCGCGGCTGCACGGTCCCGCAGCCTCACCTCGCCGTCCTTCCAACAAGCCAGGAACTCCGAGCACAGTGGGAGTCTGGCAAACATGCCAGGGAAGACAACAGAATGCATCCCTGCCAGGAGATAAGTAGGCGAACGGCGGAGTATGACAGACGGGAGGGGGCTGCACGTCGGGTCCGGCGGCCACAAGGACCGAGAGTCCCTCAACCAGCTGGGGGAATCCCACATTTCAGCAGGGGCTAAAGCAGACGTGACAGGCCGATGCACGCCTGTAGGGAGACAAGCTGGGCAGGGGAGGGGGCCCAGTAGGGGACAGGTCGCCAAGTTAACAAGGGATTACAGTGCCTCAGTCTCCACAGAATGTTCTGGAAACCAAACAGGTCTAAAAGGGTAAAAACGCTACACTTAAAGTAAAGACTCTCAAACCAAAGAGGATAGATCAGTCCAAGAGTGGCAAAAACACAGACCAAGTTTGTCTTTAACCAACAATTCTTTTTTTTCCCCCCCACACAATGACGACAAATTTGCCTCATCGGTCAACTCCCTGTCAAAAGGGCATCACATGCCAAGTTAGTTTGAAGTTCATATCTAATAAGGCCTCTGTGCTGCAAAAAGGGCCAAGGAACAGAGTATCAAATTTTAGACAGATGCTGTCAAATTAATTTCTGTAAAGCAGTTGATGCATTACCTGTGGGAATAGGGAGGCGGAGAATAATTCCTTAAGCCAGACACAGGCCTGGCGAAGGCACATCATCAAAACCGCGGTAAGAGCCAGTTTGTTTTGCTTTGTAGAAGGTGTCACGGCTGGTATCCTACAGGATTATTAGAAGTGTGAACTTATAAAAACATGGGGCACTTGGGGAAATGAGCTGAACGGAAAATGGACTTGAAGAAAATCACGCTTGTTCTTGAATTCCTTGATTCCGCCTGCGCAGCGTTTTCAAGCCCCCCTGCCCCCTACCGC